CAATACGACATCTTGATGTTACATTTAGCTATTTCGTACTTTAAGAAACGTTTATGTCCTTTTTATAACATTTATCTCTATAATCAAAGTAATTCCGAAATGAAAGTCAGGATGTTGTAGGTTTGATAAATGTCTTTCTAACGTATTATTAGGTTACGTATTGAATGGTCCCATAAATTCAAAAATCTAAGTATTCTTTATTTTATTACACTAGGTTTGATGACTCTTACATTTCATCATTTGATTAAAATTAAATTTAAATTGTTGATTTCGAATATGAATAAAATAGACATCAATTTAAGCATTCTTTATGTCTTCACCATTCGAGAAGACCTTTCAACATTGAACTGTGTATAGATGGACGTGTTATCATAACCATAAACTGAATTTAGTTTACCACTTAGAGAGATTTCAGATATGTTTTCGATTTAAATAGATAAAGATGTAATTGTTTTCATGCTTGTCTGGTTTAATTTATCTAGGCTAATGGCTTTTTCCTCCAATAATTCTTTGACAAGTCGCCGGTCCATTTGATGTTAAAGCAAATGTGCAGAATTGCCCACTTATACTAAAATGTAATCATAGTAAAATATGTTTCCAACATTATAATAATCCGAAAGGTTTTAAAGTCCGAATGGTTTCTAGGTGACATAACAAAGTAAAGAAAAGGTTTTTAATTAAGCTGCAGACTTTTTAGAACGGAGTAAAACCAAAAAAATTTAATGATAGTTTTCAGTTTAAGCTAAAAATGGAACAATAACATAGTTGTGTACTAGCTTTGAGAAACGGAGTAGCGCATGATTGTCCCTTGTTCCACCACCTATATTTTTTTAGTTCTAGCAATTGCAGTAAAATGTGTCACCTTTCATGTATTGACCTCACTGCGGTCATAGGATGAAAGACGAAGAACCGAAAACCACTTTTCTGTCAATTGAAAACTGTTTATTACATGCCATAAACATAGACTTTGAATAACTATCTCAACTAATTGATTTGTAAATGTCAATAAAGTAAGAGTTCAATGGGGTAGGATCAATTTTTCCAGATTTTATTTCAATCCTAACTTTAATTCATAATCTCATAGCTCAATTTGTGTACTTCCAATAGTATGTCTAGTTTCTTTCCGATCACCAAAAATTTAACGCCCACAAAACGTAATTTTGACAGATTTGGTAAATGTTGAGTATATACACAAAATGTTAAGGGAGGACATCCTACTACCTTAACAAAAACGAAAATTCTGTTGGAAGTAAAGCTTTACATTTGTATATATTGTATATCGTATGTACAAGTTATTTCCGATGATTTTGGTTAGCGACGTCCTGTGATGCCAAGTTTTGAGATTTTTACCTTGTGAGTGACTTGCAGGAGATATTGGCCCTACCTTGTAAGCATTCCGCTTTGTGTTAATACTAATGCACAAAGCGACTTGAAATAAGTATACAAAATATTTAAAAAATAAATTGCTTTATATCTTTTATTTGTTAGAATACTGTGGTTTCAATTAATTTCTATGAGCAATTAAAAGATCATATATCGAACAAGGAACTTAGGACTGCTTCTATGGCAATACCAAAATGTAATTCTTAAAAATGAGAAAACAAACTAAGTTGTATATAAAGAATTCGGTATAAAAGTAATTAGCCATTTAATGACATATTAGGAAGCTAATTACATGCGATTAATATCTTTTCGATCAAAATCTCATCAATGTTTATTTGCAATCTTCAAAAGCTTCACGTACTCAAACACTTATTAGACACGGAACGATTTGACATTTTCAATACCAAGGAATTATTATTTTTTTGGGGGAATAATTAAGAAAATGTCATTGACGAGTCAATGCTTTTGTTGTCGAAACTTTCATAGGTATACTACCAAACCAAATATGAAAATAATGTTTGACGTAATGACCCGACGGATATCGAAAGATACTGGTCCACTATAAACTATAAACCAGGCTAAGTAAACAACGATCACCGTATTCAAAGTTGTGATGTGAATAATCTCTAGGGTTTTCATGTTCAGATACAAATATTAGTGTCTAAGTGGGCTGATAAAAAGGGCGATTCACAGATTTTGTGTCAATAAAAACATATTCCGCAGGGCTACTAGTGGACACTTCAATAGGTGATACGATCGAGTTTATCGAATTGAAGTTTAATCAAGTAGACCAATTGATAAACAAGCCTAAAGATATGTAAAATATAGATATAATTAAATGTGAATTATCTTTAATCATGTAGACTTTATCTTATAGATTTGTCTTTTAAACAATACATTTACATTCATTGTTTAAATTAAACCCAAATAACCAAAAACAAAGATAAATAAATAAATAAATAAAAATTAACAATTTACATTTAATTTTAAAATGGTTCATTAAATGTTCCACTAAGTCTGTTGTTCAGCAACAATGCAATGATGATGCACCAGAACTCAATCAATAAACGCAAAAGCGCCTGGTGCCAGGTAAACCCCAATATGTCTGAATCGTACTTCCAATCTCCGCACTTTTTTGTCGGCGGACAATACCCGTATAAAACTTTAATTTGCCATAAATGATTCAACAAGGGATATATAATTAGTGTAAATAAAGACTTCTAAATGTTCTGATATATGAAGATCATTTAACGTAAACAAAATGACTAATATATGAAATTAAAATGTAGTATGAATGTAAAATTTTATTGACGTGTAATTTATTTTTTTTCAATTTAGACTTTTATTTATTTCAACTATATATACATATGCTTCGGTGATTCATTCATAAACATAGTAAATTAGTAAACACTTAGATAGACAATGTGTTACTTGCAAGAAGGAGTTTTCTATTCCGAATAGATGCTACTTCCTGATACTTCTTTTTCAAAGTGCAACACCACTTTATTTTAATCCATTTATTATTTTTGATGTATGCTATCTGGATGTGTCACACATTGGTGTATTTTTTTTAATGTAGTCTTATTGTTCCAAAACATTTCACTCTACTCTAAAAATTAACGGATTACATCTTTCTTGTTAATTTAAAACATCCGTTTTTTTCACAGACAATCGAACAAGAACATGTTGAAGGATTTCCAAATAAATAGGCTTAAAACAACATTTTTATCCGGCAATACTTAATTCATGTACACAGTAAACTTATAAAGCAGCAATGAGTTGGCAACAGCTACGAGTCTTGGAGTTAACTGAAGGAAAGGATTGTAAATGTCAATTAGACAGCAAACCAACAACACAAGTACACCACGAATGGACATCCATAGAATCGGTCTACAAAATGGACAATTGTCCACACCGTATTACAAGCTGTCTAGGGAAGTTGTTCATGCTACCGAAGGCATTCCATGGATAAACTAATTGAATTAAAACATTCAGTATCTTTTTTTATTAAGAATATGTCTGAAATATAGTCTTAAGTACCAGAAATATATAAAGTATGATGGTATTTCATAGTGAAATTTGTATTGGTTTAAAACAATAATGTTCAAAGTTTTTATTGCTTCAAACTTAAAAAAGTTGTTTGAACTAAATATTTCGTACTGTTAATCTGATTGATCGGATTGTAGGAAATGTTCTCCCTTTATTCCATCTAATCATTTTCAAGGTTTGTTAGGTTTATACCCTTTATACATGGAAACCATAAACCAACTACCTTTGTGAGAAAAGTGTTCGATGATATTGGATATTTCAAAGCAAATGTAAATGTTTACAAACTTCGCTTTGATTCTTGTTGAATTTGATAGCAATAAAATTTAATTTTTATACCAAGTAAACAAAAGGAAGCGGATTGTTTTACTTAAACCGATAAGAAGATCCTAAAAGTGGTAAACGTTTTAGAGAATATAAGGTGGGTTGATTGGAAAACTTTCTATGATAAACAATACAAAAGTTTGACCGGATTGGGTCACGAAGTTGAAAATGCCAGGTTGGCCTATACTGTAATGAGTAAACTAACACACCTGTGTCTACAAATAGCGCGTTTCTATATGGTGTATTTAATTTTGTAAACATTTGTTTTTACTATATATCTATTAAAAGTTTTATTGATCCTTTATTATAAACACTCTTGAAATGTAGTGTATTGGTACTTTTGTTAAACAGTTCAGAAGAATGGTATAAATCAATACAAAGTTGTATATTTACATGTACTAGGAGTCCATCTGTATTTAATTTTGTAGATGGTTTTTTTTTTTTTTTAAGAATTCTGACTATGGATACAAGAAGATACATAATACGCGTCAATAATACAGCAACCCAAATTGTGAAAAAAAACTTAAAGGAAAAAACGAAAAGACATCTATTGGTTCGTTTTTTGTTTTTACTTTCTGGCTAATATTATAGGCATCTTTAGAGATAGATAACAGATCTATAAGCCATATATATCTATGATATGACAAACATCGATATTACAGTCATACATAGAACGATCCAGTAATATACACACATCCAAGAGGAGCCAACCGCACATGTATATTTAGGAAGCCCAATGTTAAATGCATATCTTTTTAAAGTGCTGTATACTTATTTTTAAATTCGGAAACGGCATAGATTAAAATGTAAAACGTATTAATTAAATAAAAATATAATAAGAAAATAATAAAACCTTAAACCCTTGAATAGGTTAATAAGATTAATGAAATAAATATGATTGAAAATTAAGTAATCCGTTTTCTAAAAGTACCGTTAAAGAATAGATTTATAATTTCGGCTTAAAGAACAAATGACTTTTTATACATACATATGTATAAATACATCCATGCCAATTATCCTTGACAAATTTCGATTCTGTAATATGTACACAATAAAGACGGGTACTCTTTCGTGTTTTTTCCTTCTCAATTGCTCCTCAAGACCGTTCGTTTCGTTCGTCCCGTATGACCGTTCGTTAACATCATGAATGAACGAACTTCCCGGACAAACGAAATTACCGGTCAGCATCGAACCCCCTTCAGACTGAATTCTAATAAAAGTTATATTAAAATCTTTTGACTACATACCTATAATCCCAGACTGGGAACTTGCTATGAGCAGTTCCTGATTTTCTTTTCTCGTAATTCCTCTTGACGTATTCTTCCATAGCACAACCATGTAAATTAAATAATACATCCCATTTTAATACAAATTGTCGCTATACTTCTCAACTGGATACTCTCACAGGAGTTAATTAATGTGCTGAGTTGATGAAATTGACAACAATCAAAGTCATTGATCGATTCTACAGCTCTACAGCAGGTAGATAGTATTGTGACATTATTCGACAGACGATATCATGTAAATTAGTTATGATATTGATAATTAAAACAAAGATGGATACACCTGTCCAGGTGGCATTTTATGAATGATCTTAATAATGAATGTTGTCAATATCACAATACTTATCACAATATGTTAATTTCACACTTCTATCCTTGAAAATCTATGTAATCAACACCAAATACTGTTCCGGAATTATGTGAATCTCTCTAGTTTTATTCAAGCCTATGTTATCCTGTTTTGATATTAGATATATATTACTAATAATTCCCAAGCAACAATCTTTTACAAATAAGATATACTTTTCTCAAGTTTCCAATTTTTTTTGTTTTTCATATTATTTCATTTCGATCCTTTGAATGGAAAATATACCCTTCTCTATGCTTTACGTGTGAGTGTTCTCAATTTAAATATCGAACTAAAATTTAAACTTCAATACCAAATTTTACCTGTTAAATTTAAAGGTATTAATGTTCAAACGTCTATCATAGAATAACGGACCACACTTCATTCTACTTCGAACAAGGAAAAGTAGTTTTTACCTGTTGTCGATAAGGTGGGTTTTATAAATTGTGTGCCAAGTTTTTATTGATTTGTAAAACTTTCATAATATATGACATTTATAGATAAATCAAAGTTCACGACAAGAATTAATAGATATGCAGATAAATATAAATTTACATTTTGATATAGATTTATTGAATACATTAAAATGCAGAGGAAAAAAGAAACAATCACGATATCCGGCGAACGGACTCCTTTCACCAAAAACAGTCGACACAGTCCTGCGAAGACACTCGTGTCAGTAAAAAAAACCCCAAAACTGTCCAGCAAAGACACTCGTGTCAGTCAAAAGAACCAAGACTTTCCAGCAAAGACACTCGTGTCAGTCAAAAGAACCAAGACTGTGCAGCAAAGACTTTCGTGTCAGTCAAAAGAACCAAGACAATCCAGAGAAAAGAGACTCCTGCATGTCATTTAAAAACGTAAAGAATATTGAGCGAAAAGACTCCTGTAAAATTCGAATTGTCTTGTCCTGAATTATTAATATTTGAATTGCTTTACATTTGTCATGTCGGGTCCTTTATATAGCTTGCTATGCGATATAGGTTTTGCTCATTGTTGAAAGCCGCACACTAGCTTGTATATTTGTTAACTTCTGTGGCGTCATGTTGGTCTCTGATGAAAAGTTGTCTCATTGACAATCATACCACATCTCCTTTTTTATTATTATGTAAAGACATAGTCGTTTAATGCTTTATATACGACTGCCTGTAAATAACAAAAGTTCTAAGTTTATTTAAGGTTTGAGTTGGGTACAGAAAAATTTACATTTCTCCTTACCGACATACAGTAAAACTAATGTTAAAGAAGGAGCATCTGTTTGGCCGTGCGGGATGTATGAATACGCAGCAACGTCTGTACGAAATGGGGGTTATATAGTGTTGTAGAGCCCAACTATGGACCCCCATACACGAGATTCTGTATGGGTTTATTAATGTGCAAATAGCGTAGCAATCGCCCTATACGAGGACACTAATTTAACCTTCAATTAATATTCCGACGTAACGTGTCTGCATATTTGTACATCTCGCAAAGCAGTCAAAAAGACGACTCTTGAAATCACTATTGGAGGTTGATGGGTGTCATGCCCTTCAATCGAATGTGGTGCTTTAGATATGTTGTTAAATTATGTGTTAAAGTTTTATGAAATGTAAACACTTATAATGTAGTGTAATAGTACTAGAAATTTAAATTCTCCCTCGCCCTGCTCGTCCGAATTTAAAGTATTTCTACTCTAAATTCAATAGGCTTTAAACAAAACAAACACAGAAATAGGATTAGTTGCTCGCAGTAACATATTATCTTCTCTTGCGATACATTATTTTATTAAACTTTATAATACAGGTTTCTTTTATACAACCAACATATATAAATACATGTAATAAACATAGCAGCCACTGTATATATACTAATGTGACTAACTTCGTGACGATTCGACGTAACTGCGAGCACCTTCGATACTAATACATTTAAATGCCAAACTTTATATAGTACCATAAAACCCCACCCGTAGAAACCGCCAAAACTTTTCTCGTGCCTTGTGCACGTACCATCAAACTTTATAAATAGTACATACTCTTGCAGAACTAGTTTCAGAACTAGTTACACTAGTTTCCATCTATATATAATTAATACAAATACCAAACGGGAAAACCCATTTTCAAACGAAATGAAATATATATATGTAGGTGTGATTTTCTCTGTATTTGACTCACCGTAACAATTCGTAATGTTGGGGAAACGTACAGTTTGAACAATATTATATATATAAATACGGTCCGGTTCAACAATATACTTAAACTTTTTTCAATTGTATATGCAGCTATAAACTAAAAAAGTTATTCGAGGCATATGTATTGATGTTGAAGGTAATTTTAAACAGTATTAATATTTTACATTTTCTTTTTAAATTTTAGCATCGAATGAAATCGTTAAAAAATATTATTTATTTCTATCTGAAATAAAATACTAAGTTACTCAAAGATAAAGAACAATAAATTGCATGCAGAATAAACATTAAAAAAAGGATTGGTAGAAATAATTAAAATAAAAGTGGACATTATAATACGATAGCAATAGAAAGAGAGATTTTGATCATTTTTATATCTTCATTCCAAAAAGACTGACAATTTAAGTGTGTTCTCTTCATCCAAGTCATAGTTCTTTAAATGTCTTGGAAGCTTGCTGATTTAAGGCCGGATCAATCGTTTCTGCGTCACAAAGTCGTGATACAGAATTTCCCGAAAAGCTGATCAGAGTGATATATTCACAATACTTAAGTAATTCTCAAATTTAGGGTTTTATTAAATAAAAGGTGATATTTTTGTAAATGTACATTTTTTACTTAAATCTATGTAATTGTTCCTACCCAGGGGTTTTATCTGCTCATTTTCTCGGTATTTAATCAGTATAATGCTTTAAATACACAAGATCGTTTTCATGTACAGTTGATATGAATGTACTTTTACTTTGTCCATAAACATTTACTTTTGATGAAATTTCAGAGTTATGTCATCAATAATGTAATAATGGCATTTATAGACAGGTATGATAGACAAGAGTCTCCATGAGCCTGTATAGCTAAAGAACATATTCCTTAAAAGAACTTAACGTTACTCCAAATATGTAATTGATTGATTGTTGGTTGCTGAACGTCCAGTGGCAATTTACTTTACTGTTATATATTAAAAGTTAGGTCATTGAACTCTATGAATTGTGCCTTATATTTCTGCGAGATGATGCGGTATAATTTTCTTTACTGAAAAAACCGGTGCTTAAATGTATATTATGTTTCTGTAAAATGATTAAAACTTACTTAAATTATATGTGTTTTTACATTTTACATACAAATGAAATGTTTATGAATAAATTCTGTATCACTTAGATTGAAAAGATATATATATATGACAAGTAAATTAATCGTTTTGACATTTACGACTGTATTTTGAACTGTAAATTGGATGATTTTGTTTTTCTTAATACTTTACATTTGCCCCAGTAAAATGATATATATACCAATTTATGACATATATATTATACATATTATGATTTAGTAATGCTGTTCATTATCTGGAGTCGTTGGAGGAGTATAGTGTGCTTCGCAATGTGCACTGTATAAGTGAGAGTTAAAAAAAGTATGGTTTCCAGTCGTGGTTGGGAGAGGATCTATAACTAGACCAATATATCACTTTTCTTCGGGTTTTTGTGTTGTTTTCGTGGATGTGTTTGTGGTTGTTCGTCCTATTTCTTTAGACCATGATGTTGTGTGTCTATTTTCGACTTAAGGATCTTGATTGACCCTTGACATTAACTTTTTGAGCCAGAAGCTTCTACACTCAAATGGTTGTATCTGTCCTCTAATGTGTTGCTGGTTTTACTTGTTTTATCTTGAGTTTTCTTAAAATGAACCATTTGAATTGATTTTACGGTAATGTGTAATGTTTAGAGCTATATATACATTCTATATGGACTGCTGGTGGAGGTCATACAACATATAGGTGTTAAAATTCTTGTCCAATGTTATTATACGGGTGGATACATATAGATACGATTAAGTTTACCATTCGTCCGCTATGAAGGAGTAGTGGATGGGTGGCTCTTTGCAAATTATATTACAGCTGATAGGAATGGGGTTAATGGTAAAAAAACTAAAATAAATGTTTCATTTTGTCAAATATATGAGTATGATAAATTGATGAAATTTTGTAAAAATTTAAATAAATTGCATACATTTTTTTTCTAATTTAGAATTAAAATGTAAAGTATTCGCTACGCATGCCTTAGATGTCCTCAAAACTTTTCTTTGATTATTTACCCTGAACTTCAAAGCAACAAGAGTGAAAATATCTTAGATATGTAGACTAGTATGAATAAATGGAGACATTTATTTAAAACATGCCTTCGAACAGTTTATTCAGTGTAGTCTGATAAAAAATAAATTGCTCGTGATTGCCTTATTTGATATTTTGACAAAAAAATCAATCAAATGCTAATATCAAATTTGTTTCTGAATATATGAATTGTATGAATAAATATTAATATTTAATTGATTTAAATAAGACTGTAATTAAGTTAAACTCGGGCTGATATGGTGATAAGGATAAAATAAATCAAACAGTTTTACTTTTTTTAAATTTGCACAATAGTTGCACACCGATTGCAAATAATTCATTATATTTTGAACATATTTGTTTTTTTTTCTTCAGTTTTTCCATGCCGTGCATGTGGATAAATGACCTTTCGCCTTTGATTATTGTAGATGGTTTAGTTTGAATCATCCGTAACCTAAGAGAATTTTCGTCGTTCGATCGAGAGAGAGTAACGGAACTATCACATTTTCCTTTTAGCACAAGCATGCAGTGTCAACATGGACTATTATTCAGTATTATAGGCAGTATGTACTTGTCTTGAATATAACTGTTTGATCTATACCCCATCGTATCTTTATTTTTGGTTAGTTATTCTTATGTTTTGTAAAAAACAGAAACATTTCAATACCATCAATTATGTTACGAATATTTTTTCGATGTATATTTATGTTGAAATATGTCAAATATTTACGTACTCGCGTGATATGCATAACACATTCTACAGAATGAACTTCTTAATATAATAAGTATACGTCATAAATGTATGGAATGGTTAAGATTCCGTTTCCTTTGAAGTGGCTTAATTGACGTTTAGATATGCTCCACATATATAAATGAATTTAAAATGTATATATTATTAATGAAATTCTTTCAAATATAATTATGTGCCTAATACTAGTATACAAATTATGTCCAACTTTATTCAGTTTATGTCATTTTATATATATATATATAAATATATATATATATATGACGCAAAATTTGTAAAAATGCAACGAGGGAATTAAACGTTATGTACATGTATGAATAAAAATTCTTATTTTGAAAATAGCCCGACTGTATCACCCTTTAGATTCGTCTCCAATTAACACGTTTTACTTC